ATAAGGGTCTCCCTCTTTTTCAAACAACTTCTGTTTTGAATTTTTTATGCTTACTTTTTATTCTTTTTCAAAGACAGTATTGATCATATAAGCCAACAAACAAATGCTTAAAGTGCCTGCTATTTATTGGCTCTGTTTCACTGCAAGGGAAGAAAAAGGATTTTTGTTTTTGAACCAAAAGACAAATTTCTTCTGCATAAAAAAAAGAAAATTAAGAGAAAGAAAGTTTAATTTCTTGCTTGTAGTGGGCATCAGTTCAAAATCGCTATGCGGTACAGGATAGTGGACCGTAGTTAAGTTATTATATGTGGTCTAAAGCTTAAAATCTTTTATAGTTTTACTAGCGTTGAATTACTGGGAAAGATCATGTTCGCATGTTAGAAAAATTAATGCTTGAGTTAAATCTTCATTATCTACGAAACATGTGGAATTTGCTGTGACAATAATTCCAATTAACTGGATCAAGCTTTATAAAGATTGCAAGCAAACAACGAATGCAGAGCGGCCACTTGAATAAAATATTGCAGATAAGCTACTGAACATGAAAGACAGGCATCTCCTAAGAACTTGTTAGAAAAATAACAGTGACAAAGGGAACACACAACAACTGCCTCACATCAATTCAATAACGCAGTCCCGCTGACACCACTCAAATTTCAATATCATAGAAAAGGAGAAAAAAGAACTGCCACATCCACTTCTTGTCGGATGTTTCAGGGAAAACCATGAAATAAACTCTTGGGAAACAGCCGAAATATAATGTCTTTAAAAAGCCGTAAGTTGGCCGTTGCTCTATTACATTAACGAGCTAAGCGCATATATCAATGGTATTAAAATTCTGATGCTAGCCATTCAAGGTCTTTTTTCCCTAACCATAAATTTGCAACTAAATGCGTCGATGCTCCTTTCAAAAAGGGAAAAATAAGACTCAACCCACTCAGTTTTTGCTTTACGAAACAGTCGACAATTATAGTTTGGCCCAGTTTCAGTGTCTTTCCAAAAATCAGATAAAACAACATACGAACATTTAGTTTGTTTACAACGAACATTCCTTTAATAACGATGTATTTTAATGGGTGAAGTTTTTTTCATAATTTACCACTGAAATTCGCTGTAGATTTGCTTTTCTAATATTTAGCTAGAATTCTGAGGTGCTGGACACAAAAAAAAAAGTACCAGTCTTTCCTCTACAGGAGAAGTAGGATTTTTTCCTTCGCCTGTAATTCCATTAAATATGCTACAAATGTACTCAAGAGGAAACGTAAGCAGATAAATTATCACATACAAAATTAATTATTTTGAATAAGGAAAATAAACTTTTGTTTGTTCTGTATTTACAGCTAAAACATTGAGGAAGGGTGACAAGCCTTCGCCAAATACAGCAAATGCTGCCAATAGAGACCTTTTATTTATGATCAAAAACTTATATTATTCGTAATTTCCAGTTTACTGCTCTGCTAAATTCATAAAAATACATATTAAAGCAAAAAAATAATACAACAATTATTCTCGAAACAGAAAAAATTTAGACTTTATAGCGCAAAACACTTTAAACAAATCGTAAAAAGTGTTCGAGAAAAAAAAGCGCAAGCGCTAATCAATGGATGAAGTTGCAGATCAAAAAATCTTTTTTGCAACTAGTGTAGAAGTTTTAAACCCAAATAATTTATATAATATTTCAAAACAATAATTCCATGGCTTAGTTTGAAATTTTTAATCATAAGCTCCTGTCCAAAAAAAAAAAGAATGAAAGATAAGTTAAAATGAAAAAAAGTTTTCTTCTCCCCCCTCAATCCGTGCTCAATATACCACTATTTTGGGAAGTAGTAATGATGAAAGTTTAAATTAAATTGCGACAATAAAGTGAATCCTTTGAAAATGTTTTAACTGCAAAAAGTAAAAACTAAATTATAACCAGAAACATTATTATTTTGATGGATTACCACTCTACTCGCCGCTTATATTTATCTGAAACAGAGGCACCATTAAATACACGCAAAAAAAATCCTGAACAAGCCATAATCATCAGTTAAATTTCAAAAACAGTCACTGTAACGATGCCTCTGTTCAAAATCAATTCGCAACAACAAATACCCACTATTCAGGCTGACCTTACCTACGTGTTTTATTTCACTAAAAAAAGCCGATAACTAGATTGACTTCTAAACAACAGATGCAGTACAAAATTCCACTATTGTTGGTAAACTGGAACTTTAATAATTAATTCACACAACACACCTCTGGTAAAGTTCAAAAAAAAGGTTTTCGCTATTATTTTTTAAAAAAATACACATCCTCCCGGAACAACAAAACAGAAAAAAAATTTTGATGCAACCTATAATCAACAAAAGTATCATGAAATGGACACCAATAAAAGTTGTCTCTATGAAACAACAGATGCAAAAATCCTTTCGTAAAGGCAATAGTTTTAAAAACATCTTTCATTTTCCGTTTGTTGCTTTGAAGTTTTTATATTGTAATCAGTAATCAGCGGAAAAACTGAAACCTAACAAAGAAAGAATGCCAACATAGAGAAAAGTTAGTAAAAACCTGTGTCATTTCAGTTAATAAAATTGGTAATCAAACATTGTAGAAAATATATTAACCTATAAAGTTTTGATTTAATTTGCATGGGGAAAGGATATCAAAGCTGGAAAAAAAGAAAGCTGGAGAAGGCGTGTGTCGCGGAAAAGAGGATTTGTCAGGGTCGCTTATGGCCGAAACAATTTGGCTGCTCATTAAGATCGACAATGAGCCTGTCTGAGCTCAATTCTTCTCTACAATCTGTGTTATTTTCATCAGTCGCCAACACCGTTACTGTGACGTTTTCAGTGGTATAATTCCCACAGTATTACCAGAATAATTGCATTTTGTATGACGTTTTATGATCATTAGAATCACCGTAGTCCATGGTCACTTGCCACATCAATAGGTGCGTATTCGGTGCTTAACTGTTTTAGAAAAACCAATTTGGAAACTTCACTGCTTCATGAAAATGAACTTTCATTAAAATAAAAAAAAATAATACTCATAAGGATTTAATGGTTCAACCTACATTAGAAATTTCAAAAAAAAAAAAAAAAAAAGTTCAACAACACTACTGCAGAAGTCCAAAAATCCAATAAAAACAGATGCTTCTTGGCCCATCAGAAAGTCAGCGGATGAATCGCTTTCTTGTTTTCAAAGATTCTAACACTAAAAAAAAGAAGGCATCTTTCAATATTTTTACCCTTGGTAGTTTTTTGTCATATCCAGTCGTCCTTTTAATAGCTCATTTGGATTTTCGAGACTTGTTTAAAAAAATAAGTTCCAGAAAAAGTAGTTTTTCCAAAACATGAAGAAAAGGCCTCTTCTAAATGTTTATCAGCTGCATTTCGTATTCGCCTTCACAAATTATAAGCTTTCAGATTTTTTCTAAACAGAAGACTTCAAGAGAACTTTTGAATATGTTAAAACTAAATTTATGCATTATTCACACGTGTAAAGTGACTGATTTCCAACCACTCCGGAAAACGTCGGTACGATAAATATTCTTATCAGAAATACTCGTACATGACGACTGACCGATACGGTGAAAACTGTTCGCTGGAGGAAATTCATAATACTTATCGTCGCGAGATCGTTGGAGACCCGCCAAGTTGGCGTGGCTCCATATACGTGGATTTGATGTCACATACAACAGTTTTTTGAAATTTAAAGTTTTATGCGGTTAGTCGCTTTTTTAGATTGGTTTGTAGGGAAGTGCCGATGAATTTCCTTCTTTTGACACAATTCTCAGACTAATAAATTTGATTTTGATCTGCACCTTGAGCCTGTTTATTCTTCTTCGGCTTTTCTTGTTTTTTTTTTTTTTTGTCTCGTTAACGGTCTTTCGGCTGGCGTTTTCTTCGTTTCATCTTTGGTTCTTTTTAGAGGTGCTACTGACTGAGGGGTCAATAAGCACAGGTTCCCTGCAGACCAATGGGTATGTAAGTAGATGTTTATTTCTATTGTTTCAAGCATCAAACGTTTCTTTATTTGGAAGAATATAATATTTTAATGGTTACTAGGTTCGAAACAATAATTTATTCTCACCTAGAATTATTATGCTTTTACTTAACTGTTTATTCTAGGAGGTTTGATGAGTTACTTTCGAGGTCTGTTCGGCCAAAGAGAGATGCGAATACTTATTTTAGGCCTTGATGGTGCTGGTAAAACTACTATTTTATATAGAATTCAGGTAATCGTCATTCTTTTACTTGTTTTTTCGTTATTTTAGGCAAGCTTTCTTTTCCCTGAAGATTTCTTGGTTTTAATGATGTAAGTTAGTATTTATTTAACGTGTTTTTTTTGAAGTCTTTTGCTGTAATAATAGCTGAATGGGCCTTTTTATGTAAAACAGTCTTTCACTGGAAGGAGAAAAAAAATGTGTAGAAATTAAGTTTATACAGTGTTTTCAAAAGTTTGGAAGGCAAGAATAACAGTCAAGGATTGAGTTAAGTTCAGTAATCATCTGTAATTTTGTTAATTTTTTTGTTATGGCTTTTCTATTGGAATTTTAGTTTATAGATGGTGGTAAATTTGACTTGTGATTTGCTTTTGATAGCATGCCTACGCCGCTACTTTAAGGGTGGTTCTCAACGTCGGTAACGAAATTTCAAGTTGCCAAAACTCAATAATTTTTAGTACAGCTGATTTTTTACTAAAACCTTGGTGCATTTTGAAGGTCATCATAGCCAGTTACGTGGTTTTTTAAGTTTATATTACTCAATTATTTAGGGACATTAATAGGATCCCAAACAGTAATGCAGTTTTCTCGTAACTATTTGACATAGCTGTGCTGCATTAGAATTGCTAAAGCAGAGTATATGGGAAATTAACTTTGTCTTTCTCAGTTTGTAATCTTATGAACTGATTTGAACAAAAGTTTTTGAAAATATGAATGAATTATAAGTCGCAAAGGAAGTGTAAAAATTAGTATCCGAAGTTGTAGTGTGGCAGGTGAAAGGTTGTATATAGTATTCAAAGCAATATGTGAGCAACAGATTAACAGTTAAATGTTGGTCTACTTGTTAGTTATGTAGATCCTTTCTATAAACATGATCGATATGGTCTCATAGTTTTTAACACTACTTTTAGAAGAACCGGAATGTTTTTAAGTGGGTCATACTTTTTTGGTTCTTTTTTTCTATTTTTAAGTGAGTTGAGAATTGGTTCTAAAATTGCTTTTTTAGTCTAGGGCTAGTAAAACGGACAATCATTTCTTTCCTTATAATTGTTCGCCTGAAGTTAATTCATTTTTCAGGTTGGTGAAGTGGTAACTACGATTCCTACAATTGGTTTTAATGTTGAACAAGTTACATATAAAAATTTGAAATTTCAGGTCAGAGAACTTGATCAGCTATTTATTGCTTTATTATTTAGTTTCTTGTTATCGAACTTCATTTTTTTTTTTCGTCAATATAAGCTATTCCAGTTAGGAATGCAATTAAGTTTGGTTTTAAAAGTATTTTGGTGTCCCTGGTTTAGATTTCGATGAATGATGTTAAGACCTTTTCTTCTATACAACCCGTTGCACGGTTTCGCATCTAGTAGTTTTCCTTATTTTATCAGTCTAGGAGGCCTTTGTTGATTTATGTAACGGCAAAACGACTATTTAGGTTTGGGATCTTGGCGGCCAAACGTCTATTCGCCCATACTGGAGGTGTTATTATTCAAACACTGACGCTATTATTTATGTTGTTGACTCTGCCGATAAAGACAGAATTGGTATCTCAAAACAGGAACTAGTTTCTATGCTTGAGGTTTCTTCCTGCTTATTACACATTTTTATGAGAAATAGCTGCCGTTCTCATGAACTTTAACTAATTTAGCTTCTCCTTGTATTAGAGCTGAGTTCTGCATTTAATTTTTGCTTGAAATCGTTGGGCTGAA